ATGGAAATTAACGAGACTTAAATTAAGGCGAATTTAGTGAAAAACCACTTTCGAACAGAGGAAATTGATGTGAAAGAGACCTGGCTACGAAACATCTGAGTGTTTAAATCAAGGAATTAGAAAGTGTTACCTGTACATTTATCTTCTCCATTTCCAGAATAACCTATTCCGCAAACACACCCGAAGGATCCTATAGTGTTATAGCACACTGAACTACTGACGTCACAGGTGTGTTGTCCTGTGTGACACTCGTCTAAGTCTGGAAATCAAGATTTAATGCTGCATTATCAAACTGAATCAGTTCTATTTCAGTTTTATATCTATTGAATGAGAAATAGTAATACAATGCTTTCGAGACTGGTAGTCCACGAATGAATAAATCAGTTTCTAAAATAAAGCAATTACAAGGAACACTAATTCAATAGCATAGCGCGCGAATGACTTCAGAGTGACTAATTTGCAGTTTTTGTCTGAGTTTTGTCATTTTTCTCACTAATTTTTTTTTATGACAAAAGAAAGGCAAAGATGACATTTTAATGACAGTGAGGAATTCGGTGATGTTAATTTCAGTTTGTTTGTCTGAGTTTCGGGTTTATAAATAGTAACTGCGAGCAGCGCTTTTGATGGCCTTATAACAACGGTAAAATGACAGATAAAAATCAGTTACAAATGATTATTCAAAGTTTTAAATGTGGCAAGTTATGTTATTTATGACGAATGATCCCGCTAAGAATAAGAAATAACCTGATTTCGACAGCACGAAATACCACAGAACCTGGATGTTAGGCTAGGGGCTACAGCTAGTTCACATTAAGTTCTTTCTTTTCCAATATTTTCTCCAGTTCCTCAATTTTTCAGTGATTCAATTCTGCACATATGAGTTTTTTTCTTTTCTTTCTTTGTTTAATTGTTTGTTTGTTTGTTTTTTTTTTTTACATTTTTTTCTACTTGTGCCTCCATGAAAGAACCTCTTAAATATTCTTAATTAATCTATAATACCTCCTAGCTAGATTAGCTTTTTAGCTAAAGGACTCTTGTACCTTACATAAGTAGTATTGTCTTTTGCTAATGTCTTTTTTTTCTGTGTGGTATAAATAAAGTTCTTGTCTTGTCTTGTCTTTTCCACACCGGGAGTATAAAAGGCTAAGTATAAATATCGCGTGTACGTCATCTCGGTTTCTGAAACAACCTTTCTTTGGTTTTCTTATTTTAGGAGCGGCCTATTTCGACTAACTTGTAAAGTCCCGTAGAAACGTCTTTGAGCTTGAGGCTTGGTTCTTTTCCAGATTTCCCGCCCGCACTATTTCCCTTCGTGGACTTTTGGGCAGGCTTTCTTTTCTGGCCTCTGTCTGACCGCATTTATTTCTGTTGACAGCTCAGTTCTGTCAGGTTTTTAAATTGTATAATTTTTTTTGTACGGTTAGCGCCGTTTTTCACCCGTTCCTAATGTCTTATGTATTTATTGTCAATGTATGCTTAGAACAGCTGTTCCGGGACCGCTCTTAAGGTGGCCCGAACCTATTTATATGAGTCTTGGTTATGTTTTGAATCGTGTTTTTTGGCAGGAAAGATTTAACCCATTTCTATGATTTTTGGCATCTTTTGAAAATAAAGAATGGTCGAACTTTCAGAAACTGTTATTTATTTTCTTCTAGGTATAAAAACCTTTGAGATATCGGCATATGTTTAAAACTGTATTCGCCGTAGGTTTCTGATTACTCAGTTTCTTGCAGCAATGTCATTGCAGATAGGAGATGGTCCGTCGGCAGCTTTCCTCTATTTGTGCATCAACTTTCACAAATGTGTTAGCGTTGCATTGTAAGATTAAATTTGACCAGGTATTTGTGCAGCGAGTTCTACGGTCACGATAGACTTCAAAATTGCAGATATAAAACTAGGGATCTCCTGAGGCTTATTTGCTGAAGTTAAAAAAAATGCGGTTTTTAATATAAACGCATGCCGATATCTCAAAGGTTTTTATACCTACAAGAAAATAAATAACAGTTTCTTAAAGTTCGACCATTCTTTATTAAGGATGCCAAAAAACATCAAATCGGTTAAATTTTTGCTGCCGAAAAACGCGATTTCAAAACCTAACCAACCCGCATATAAATAGGTTCGGGCCACCTTAAGTGGCGACAAAGTCAATGATTGACGCAGTCCTGAATTGGCAATGCTACAGACCCCCAGCCAAAATCGTAATAAACACCTGTTTACCTCAAATGCTGCGACCTAACCGTTTCTAACAGCCTAGCTGGCTATTGGCCTTCGTGTTTTGTTAAGTATATTAGTGAAGATGATCTCGTTATATCAAAGATGATCCCAAGTTTTTTCTGTTTCTAAGCCTTTGAGCTCGGTGTCTCCTGTCCCAGACATATGTTGGTCACACTTTTTGTTTCCCCAGCCTAACTGGCACTAAGCCTGTGTGCTTTATTGGGGATACAGTTCGAGCTCGACCAGTTAAGTTGTAGCAGTTATTATTATTACTTTTGTGAAAGCAGGAATACAAATGTTGCCTTTTTGATATATTAACATACATATATTGCAGCGTTGGCTTTAAATATACTTTTTTGGCGGTTAAAATTATTTCCGTTGCTATTGATTTCTGTGGGAAAAATTGGAGGCCACAACTTTACACGTACCAAGGCCAAAACCCTTGTCGTAGATACAATCTGTGACATAACACTGACTGAATATGAAAACAGGTTTCTACCTTTCAATTTGGCTGTATTATTTTTGGCATGGAATAGCATATGACTTAAGATAAAATCCTGTTCGTTTCAGCTCCATGTTATGTTACCTGCACAGTTGACACCATCCCCAGTATATCCTGTTTTGCAAGTACACGTGAAGGAACGCTTGGTGTTGGTGCAGTATGCATTATCGTGGCAGTTATGTAGTCCTGCTTTACACTCGTCTACAAATCAGGGAGTAAAAGTTAGTTATAAGAATTCCTTGACTTAAACGTTTTTCTCCTGTTGGCACAAACGACTGATATCATGATTTCCTGATTAAAATTTATTGAGGAACCGTTGGTATCAATACTCCAAACAAGTCAGTCAGCGCGGGATAATTTTTCGTGCCACGAGCGGTATAATTACTTCTTTTTCGTTTACGCCCTGAACGTTTAGTCTGAGCTCAGCTGTTACTAAAGTCGGTAAGTGTCACTTTCATAGCTAAGTTTTGCTTTTATTCACGTTTTGCGAGAGATGAAAAAATCTTTCTTCCTGTTTGCAAGCATCCGAAATAGTTCTTGAGCCAAGAACCAAAAAATGTAAATCTAAAATGTAAATCTAAGGGTGTGCTAAATTGTAATCAGTCTGTGTTCAGACATGAAACTTGAACATCAACTAGAAAATTGGGGGTTTTATGGGGGAATGGGCTAAGAAAAATTTAACATAAAAAATTGGTCAAAGTATAAAGACTCAGAATAGTCAGGTCTCTTAGTGCAAAATATAGGCCGGATCGTTACAGACGTGACAAAAGTGTCAAATTTGGCACAGAGCTTCCTTAGCACCTACCGATTAATACTGGAGGGGGTGCCCGTTACAAATGGTCCTAATTACAGATAAAAGGGGGGGTTAACTTTCACCTATAATAGCGGATTGGGTGCCCTGTGGTGAGTACTCTTCTTGTTTGATTTGGCTAAAAAAACTTTTGTTTCAAATTTTTAAGTTTTTAATTTGGTAATGTTTAGTTCTTGTTACACTACTCAAAATAGTTTTACATGTACATAATACTGACTAGTGCCTAGTCTCCACGGTAAATGTGGCCATGTTCACTGTGCGGCCTGTGCCGTTATCAGTGTCACTGCTAAGACTTGCCAGTGATAATATCATTACATATCAATTTAAACAAATCACAAAGCCAGCTTTCAAAGATGTAACACAATAACATAAAACTCAAATGTATCACATCCTAAACGACAGAATCGTGAAAGTTTGACATGCCACATGATCGACCTCATGAACCGTAACTGACAACACGCCAACTTTGTAATTGTGCAGCTAAGAATAGATTATAATTTGCTTCGTTGGTAACCCTGTCCTTGAGATAATGATTAAAACATGTCAAACTCGTCCTCAGGAGGAAAAGGAGGAGCAAGGGTGGCACAGTTGGTTAGTGCGCAGCCTTCGGTGTGCGAGGTCCCGAGTTCGATCCCCGGTGTCAACACATCCTTATTTCAACTTCTCTCCTTTCTGTGTAGCTTTGACTAGCTCTAAATACCCTTAAAACGGAAAATTAATGGAGAGAGGGGGGGTAAAAGGAGCGCACCGTTGACCTCAAGTTTTTTCTACCTTTTTATTAAGCCCTTGGGACGAGGTTGTAAAACATGCCTCTCCAGGAATTTTTAACACGGTTTGTTTTTTACACATTTGCATTTAAAAAGAAGTGTATGAGGTCCCTGCATGCCTAGACACCTGTAAGCGGCTCATTCACTTCAGAGCCCTTGGACTAGAGTGTTAGTGGTAGGTCTATACGATCTTTCAAAACAAAGGAAGGTCGTCGCGTGCGTTACAAATTTACAAATAAACTAACTTCAGAAGAGCTGAAATTTACAGGAACAAGGCCTCTTTTAGCCAACCAGTGATGCATCATTTATGAAAATGAATGTAATGTGTTTGATGCAATTAGGCGAATACCCCGTGGTTACGAAATCTTACGATCATGAATTCCTAAAGAGCAATTCAGTTACCAGCTTTTCACAAAATAATGCTGTGGAAGATTACAGAAAATACCAAAAAAAGCAAGGGTCAACAATAATTATGGCCTGGTCTCTTATAATAATGGAGTGGTCATGATAAAGAAGCCCATCAGTCCCAACTTTGACCACTCAAACAGATTTCTGACAGATTACATAGTGCAAAACTTTGCATTCAATGATGCCTATGTTGCCACACCAGGAGCCTAGAAATCGGCTCCTGGTCACACCTTGTTTTTATTGCTGAATATCATTCTAAAGAGCTTTACGAAATATTTTGTTAGTAGGGGTGTTTTGAACATGATTGATATGTAGAGATGCTGACAAAAACGAACACAAAAAAAGTCACAAAACGAGACGCATGAAACAACCGCAAATTAATATTCGTGTTACACCGATATAATGGCTCGTTTGGCTGCTATGCTGACGTTCTTGAAAATGGAAGTAGTATCACAGCTAGTCCCAGGTTAGATATACCGTTTATTACCAGTTTCACGGTTCCTGAGACTTAAGGCCTGTTAACATAAAGGAGGGGGACCCCAGGTAGGTGAGGTAACCTGCTTAGGTGGGGTAAAAAAATAAGCCCCCTTTACATGCAATCTTACAACCCCGCCATCCTGGGGTGCAGTTTCTCAAGATTGTTGAATGGTCGCTAAGCACGTAAACAAGAAAAATGCTGGCAAACCACGTCTACGCTCACTTGCTGCAACCTTCGGTGTTGTGGCTTTCTATTGTTACCTTTAATAATTATGTGAAGCCAACCGGCGCCAAAGTGAATTTTGCGCGAATTTGATGTGTCACGAATCCGACCCCGACTAGCCTGGGTTACCTCACCTTGAAACGCTGACATGGCAAAATTTGACCTCAGCTGAGAGGGTTACCTGGTGTGGCAGACCGGGCTACCCACCTTGAAGGGTGACCCCACCTATCATGTAAACGTGATCAAATGAAAAGGGGAGATTATATGGGTCGGCGGGTTGCCCCACCTAAGTGGGTTACCATGCCTACCCGGGGTCCCCCTCCTCCATTTAAACAGGCCCTAAAAGTTAGGAGTTAAACCATTCACCATTTATCATTTGAGTCAATCTTGTACCACTTGAGTCTCACTTTTACGACTTGGTAAGCTGTTATTATTTTTGGACATGAGTGCTTCAGTGCCAAATGTAGAGGCTTCATGATAAACTGTGCTGTTTTTTGAAGCTTCGGCTAACTTGTTTCTTTTTTTCGTTTATGAGACCAGATTCTTTTTTGTTTCTTTTTGCTTTGTAAAGCTTAGACAAACTGCGGGAATTGTAAATGATATGACTTGTGCCACGGTGCTTGCTTCTCTGTCAAAACTTGCACTTGCGTCCAGCAGATAACTGGATAAAGAGAGACTGAAAGGCATCCAGGCCTATGTTAAGCTGAAAAATTAATTACTTCCCTAGGAAAGAACCATTTTGGGTTGTTATTTCGTTATTTGCTCTTCATGAATAGCTGTCATAAATCCCTGATAATATGTGGTACAACAGACTCTTTGACAATTTCTTTTTTCTGAAATTTTGTGTGTGAATCGCTATGCCATTCGCTTTCTTTAGCTTTAAGTGACATGTAATGCCAAGTAATACTTGATAAATAAGACTTAAGCCACTGAATAAGGCCTCCTCTAATTGAAGTACATTAGAAAAAGAGAAGAGAACCCCAGAAGCTGAGTACTTGCAAGTTATGAAGCAAATACGAGGCCATCTTAGAAATGACTTATGAAAACGTGGGCGGACTGTGGACTTGCTTTAAGGGCACAGTAATAATCAACCTAATTATACAATCAATAAGCTAATAATGGATGGGAATGCCAGATATTCGAGTGAAATTGTTGTTTGCAACATGGGAATAGCATTCAGAGTGATTTAAGGTATTAAATAACAATTTTCAATCAAAACACCACAGGGATCCCAGCAGGTGAAATTTACAATAATTAAATCCTGTTTAGCACGCTTCAGTGACATATTTGCATTGGGCACCCCCTCTAATATTCATGGTACTGCAATAAGCTATCGCTGTGCAAAGTTTGGTGCTTTTGTCAGCTCTGTAACGATCCTGACCTTAAGAGACCTGACTAGAAGCAACCATTGCCATGAAAACTCACCACTAACTTCTAAAGATAGAAGGGACGGCGTATTCGATTGGGAAATTTGGACTTGGATTTTTGAAATTGGAATCGAACGACACGAAATCTTAAAACGGATTTCAACGCAGATAAGCCTGTCATTGGTTTTCCTTTCTTCCTTTTTTTGAATTTTTTGAATTTTTAATTTATATTTTTTTTCAGGCAGGGGGGCGGGGAGGGGGGGTGCGGAGATCGGGGATTCGAGAAAAGATATGAACTGTTTTTGAGAGAACAGGTGTCTCGCACGCGCACGCATAACAAGCAGAAAAAAAAACATTGTCCACGCTTTTCCAACTACAACGGTATAAAGGACACCCATAAAGTCATGATTTGGTGAAAGATTTCTCGGGGGGTGAGGGTGAAATCCGTTTTGCATTTCGCGTTTGATTGCCAAATCTAAATCCAGACTTTAAACTCAAATCCGGATTTCCCATGCAATCAAACGCACCTTAAATTTCAATTTTCGCCATGAATTGAAAAAGTTTGATCGAATTGAAAGGGGTTATTAACTTGAATTTGCATAATTATAGTTTCATTATTTAAGGGCAAAATTTCTCGTCATCCACAACCATTTAATATAAGCCCCCAATTTTTCCAATAACGTTCCTTCCTTAAGTCTCATGTTTGGTAACAGACTGATCACAATTTAGCACACCCTAAGTTTTCGTTTAATAACAATTTCCCATAAGGGGTTGCTACAAATTAATATTGTATTTTTACCCCCAAAAAAAAATTTTGTGCGTTTTTAGAAAAAAAAAACTAGCATAAACGTTTTTGGGAGCTTTCTTGTTTGCTCTTTTATTCTATACATATCTAGTCCAAGTTATAGCCTTTCGGAATTGCGGCGATTTAGCTTTTATTTAGAGGAGTGGCGAATAGCGAAATTGGCGGTGGATTTTTGCCCAATATGTTTGTCTATAACTCTCAGATCCCTCACAAGATTAGTCAGGATTTCGATAATAAGGTAGCAGTGTCTGATAAGAGCAGTCAGAAGAGCGCCGGTCTGCTGAGTGGGAAGTTGCGGGTTCAAACCTTGGCGGGACCAACACTGGACAGAGTATTGGACGTAAACCCTGATGGTGTGGCCAACCTTTCCTGGGCAGGGTGGGCTATTTCCTTCAGGAGTCACAAGGCTACCTGTAGATAGTGAATTTGCTGCATAAAAACTAAATGGGTTAAACTAAAACGGCAAGTGGCTTTAGAAATGTAAAATCTGCACTGTTCCATAGAGAACACTCCCAACTGTCCCAGGGGGTTAAACTATTCAAAAGGGCGTGCAATTCGCGCGAAAGGACTTGCTCATCCAAGGTTTTTAAATAAGCTCATTAATTTCTATTTTTTAACTTACCTAGGCACGTCATTTCAATTTCTCTGGTGATTTCTTCCATTAGCTCTCTGTTTCTTTCCCGCTCTTTAATAAACTCCTCTTCTTCTTTATTCATCGGAACAGGACAAACTGCAAAATAGCAACACATATGAACCGAAAGTTTCAATCTGTATGCTAACGACATTTTATCAACTTTGCAAAACAATAATAAATATAACAATTATTATAATTGTAATAAATTATTATTTAATATTAATAAATAATAAAATACTAGAAAATGACAAGAAAATAATAATAATAATAATAATAATAATAATTTAATAATAATAACGATAACGATAATGATAGTGATAATGACAATGACCATAATAATAAAATAATAATAGTAATAATAATTATAATAATAATAATAATAATATTATTATTATTATTATTATTATTATTATTATAAGACTACAGTCAATTCTTTCTAAGACAGATACCTTCTGGTCCCGTCCCCACTCTCCGTCTATTTAAGGGAGGTGTCGCGCTAATAGACAGTCAAAGTAAGGTGGCGCCAGTAATTACAAGAAATTAAAGCTGAACTTATTCGCACTAAACTCACATCTGTTACACTTGTGCAAAACAATAAAAAAAACGGAACTACAATGTACTGGAAAGGTGAAATCATTTTCTCATTGTACAATCACACGTGGTTCATATACATGTCAACGTTCACGGCGTCTACTGAACAGCAACAGTAACGCTAATTCCAATTATATTTACACGGTTAACTCGCGATCGAACTCGGATAACTCGGAATTTCCTGCTAACTCGAACTAATTTTCTTTTCCCTTGATTAAAAATGTAATTGTAACATGGCAACTTAATTTTTTAAATCGACCCTGATAACTCGAACCCTCGTTAGCTCGAACTGTTTTTCGTTCCCCTTCAGAATTCGAATTACCGGGGCTCTACTGTACATTAATTACCGTAAGTACTAAATCATATGAAAATAAGTCGTTATAATGGTTTGTTTTTGATGTCACTACCTGAAGTTCCCATAAGGCTCAAACAGTTCAGCTAAAAGACCGAGAGCATAGCTGTTTTATAGGTGAAGAGGTTATCTTCATTTGGCGTTTAGAAGATAGGAGCTGTAAGAAGACGCGTGCTGTATTTGGGTATCTAATTTACTTACCCTAATTACAATTTATAATGTCATGTAGCTAGTGCACCTGCATTTCTGTTTTGCGGTATTTTTCACTGCCTAAAGAATTTTTCAGTTGTCCGGTGATGGTTTCAAAAGTGTCGGTTGTCCGTCCTTGAGAGGTTTCCGTCCTATAGAGAGCATACCCTTACAAAAATGATCATATCTTATTGCTAGTTTATTACGCGGGATGACGTAGTCAGCCAGCGTCTAAAATTCGGTAGCACATTCCTTTCGTCGTCTTGGGAGTCAAAAATTGTCTTGTTTTTTTAACTTTCCCGTATCCCGTGCCCGTCCCGAAAAATTGTATGGATTTTTATTGGCCGCAACGTCGAAGCACGTGCAAGTCAGGCTGGATTGCACAAGCCGAAAAAAGATACTGCGTCAGCAAAGGAGGGAAAAGTAAGGTCACCGTGTAGAGGAGGACGAAGACTCAAGGCCGTGCTCTTAATACGGCGCAAGACTTGGCCTCGGGCGACTGAAAATATTGTCTAGGTGGCCCAGCCGGGCGACTTGCTGGTGTTGGTTTCTTGTTGAGTTACAGTCAAAAAGCTAAGAATGTCTAGAATTTATTACTTGCGAAATCGTAGCTCTCTCGGTGGCTTCGCGGCTTAAAAAGAACGCTCCGCTCGCTAAGAAACTCTTGAGGTCGACTTGTAAGTAGCAATAAGTAGCATGTCTATCAAAAAGCTTTAGGAAAATGTTAAATCGGGCAGCGGACACGCGTTGATGTTCAAAGGTTGTTTCACGTGAATTCACATGTAACATAATCCTTGACTATGAACGTGGCAAGCTGCACAGTTTTCGATAGTAACAGCTTTTCATAATAACATAGAAATTTTTTCTTTAAATTACGATTGTTCATTAGTTAGTTTTTGAAAACAAATTGTTACTTTTGCTCTGACAGGCGTGAAGTACGGTCGGCGACGCAAAACGATAGTTTTGTATTTTGAAAAATCGCTGAATAAACAAGGGGTCGGTCTTTTATGTTCTTTAAATATTTTTACCTTTTTTTACTGCTGTGTCTGCGAGGCTAAAACATAACTAAGATTGTTATTCCAGTAAAATACGATGCGTAAAAAGAAAAGAGACGACTATTGTAATTGTGATTGTTCTAGAATCGGGTATAAATCCCGCATTGTCTTTCGTGTCGTGACAAGGCATTACGTATCACGTACTAAAAATAAATACGCAAAAGCTAACCGAATCTACATTTGTCCTGAACATTTCACCGGTAATACAGAAAGAAAATACTTCCGTTTTGCACTTAAACGACGACTTTCAACAAGATAATCTACTCAAAAGAGATAATGGTTTTAGGGCGGCGGGGGGACTTCCTTATAAAGAGGCTAATGGGGATGTGCCGCTGGATGGGGTGGCATTTTCACGACTGGATTGACTATTAATGGCGTTGCATTTTCAAAAGAGTTACTAGGATGGAGTCGCACATTTTCGGATTTTTGGGGTAAGAGAGCTGTTCATATTTACGGTTAGCAAACGTATCAGGATATTTGTACTGTAGGTGAAAAGTAAAGTGTTCTTCATTCAATTTATTAAAAAAATGGGTCAATTCATTTTTTGATGACCTATTTAAAGGATTGATAAGTTAGATACGTAAATAGAAAGTGACTAAGTTGGGATCGCAAAAATTACATATTTGCCCAAGAGTGACTTACGTGGAGTCTACAATTGGCCACAGAAAAGACTATAATGGGGTAGGGGCTCTGAGAGGCCAGCGGCACATACCCAGCAAAAATTAACGCAAGTAACCCCCGGGGGCGCCGCGGTTTCGTTGAAATCATAACAGTTTTCCTGGAAAGCTCCACGGGATCTCAGTCAATCTTAATAAGCGAATTTTCTTTTCAACCTAAATCAAAATGATTAGTAAAAAGAATAGTGCCCTTATTTTTGACCCCAAATTTACTTTGCCATTTACAAAACATGAAATGTTCGGCGGCGTTGTCCATGTTTCTCATATGGCGCGAAAACTTACTTTCATATGACAACGTGCCGGTTTTTTTTTTCAGGAGGTCAAAGGGATGTGATTTTTCATGAAAAAAATATTCACAGACTTCTGCTTGACTTGTTATGAAAATAATTTGTTTAATTTTTGATAACTAACAGCTCATTCATTTATTAATTTGGGCAACCAACTTGGAGGCCCGGGCACCACAGCTAAAAATGCTTGGGGAGCCCAAAGGGCTCCCTGAAGTTTTCCCTAGAGCACTTACTTGAATCCCTGTAGTGATTGGAAGTATGATACATTACATGCTATTGTTAAATGTGGAAGCGCATTTTTTGAGGACATTAGTAAAGGAATGCAAATTTTAGTGAACTACCCCATACTACTAAGATATATGGTGGTAATATTGACGTAAGTTTTGTTTTGAGTAGCAAAGGAACCCTTGTGTGTCACTCATCTTCTAGTGTATTAGTCCTTAACAGAACATCTCCGTCTCTCCCGCACAAATTTGTTACATACACTACACAACTTTCCATTGCCATCCAACATACCCGTAATTCTTTCTTAAACCCACAAATCCCGCGTAAACGCCTTCGGGCGTCTTCTTGTTGCTATCTTAAAACTAGTTTCAACTATCTAAAATCTAGTTCCTCAACAAAACTCGCTATCTTTTTGCTATTTTAGAGTTTGAGCGGATAGTGCATAGCTATCTCTGTCCTAGTTTTGTGCTAACTATTATATATCTGCCAGGTAGTTAGGAGATAGATAGAGTATCTTAAAACTAACTACCTATGTAGATAGCAAAAAGATAGCCTAACCAACTACTATCTCAGCTATCTGAAAACTATCTTCACTGGAGTTAGTTAAAAGCTAGGCTATCTGATTTCTATTTTCATTTTGTAAAGTTAAACTCTCTGCTATCTTAGTACTAACTTAGTGGTAGATAGTAAAAAGATAGCCTATCTTAAATCTATCCATTGTCCATAAAGCCATTTAATATACTATCCAAAAGCTATCTTGGAAAAGATAGTGAAAAGTTAGGCTATTTAAAAGCTATCTGTTTCTCATGAAACACTTTATAACCTGTCTTAAAACTATCTTGAACATAGGTAGTGAAAAGATAGGCTCAAACCTACCAATATTAACTATAATATGGCACTTCTCAAAGTCGGCAAATAGTACTGTAATAACATAGGGTATCCTTATTAAGCCGACCATTTCTATAGCAAATTATTGTAAATTCTATCAATAATAATTTGTCACGATTAGTCAGCTAGCTGGCAATGCTCACTTATTTTATACACAGAAAGCTCGATTAATCAAGACTTGCACTGTATTTTAAACTTAATGTAAGACTGAGACGCTTTTATATATTAGTGCTTCACAAAACCATTTAATTCTAAAGTCACAGAGAATCACATCATCCACACCACAATTTCTCGATGAAGGCTTGCTTTGATTATTTCTTTTTTCGTTTCAGTTTCCTACATGTGTACCAACAGTACCTTGTAATATTGAACAGCCATTTGCGAAAATTTTTCTTTAAAAAGCGTTGTGCTCAGTTGTGTGTTGGAGGACTGTAATAATTAATTATCGTGCCAAGCTCGATTACCTTCCACACGACACGATAATACTGTTACTGCAATATCAATCTTGATCAATCGCGTCTGACTCATTTTAAGAAGGCCTGTTTTTTCAAAATACCTGAATCTCCCTTTTGTGATCGCAGATGATGAAGGTGAACCGCTTTCTTTAGGCTGAAAATAGAAATATTCCAGTACAAGAAGAGGATGCCTGAGGATCGAGTTCGCCAGCATTCCTCAGTCTACGTCGAATCGATGACACGAATGCGAAATCTCTTTAACTCCACGATATCATATACCTTTTCGGAATTTTTTTCTCCGCTTGTACTGTCCTTCATAACCGAACTTTTCCTTTTTCTCAGCCATTTTGTTACTTTTTGGATTCATAACTGATATCTTTAAGTAATGGTCCGTGTAAGAACTAGGCAAAAGAACAATAGGCCAGTGCAATAGCGGCAGTTATTTTTTAGGTGCTAATTTCTCTAATCAAATTAAATTTGAATGCTCTGATTGGTCAATAGGGCGAAAAGCGCGAAATTTGAATTTTAGAAATAAATTAAGATAGCAAAAGAGTCATTCAAACAATTTTTTATTTTGTCTACTGCTCTGATATGTTGAAAACTATAACATATCTAAAATTTAGAGGATTTCTATGCGCCAAACCCGAGCAAAGTTAAACTGATATAAAATTACATGAAAATGGCACAGGAATACATCAATCGGCGACCTCCGAAAGACAGCTCCTTCGGTTCTCACAAAGGAAATGTCAAAATCGTGATCGGAAACAGGAGTAATTCAAGCTCACATGGCAAAGGCGCCAAAGCTGCGTGTTTTTATTTTGCCAGCATAAAGAACAACAATTTCATAAAATCATGTCGGAGGATTATCCTAATGGCCCGCATTTGAATAAATAGACGATTGTCCATACAGAAAAAAATTCATGGATGTTCGGAGAATTCGGTTTCAGAAGAAGCTCTCTTCACAGTCTTACATGGTAGATATATTTTTAGCCTAAATATCTCCGCAAAACCTACTTTCATTCTTAGAAAAAGTAAAGGCAACAGTTACAGTCAAATTTGCATTATCTTTCCTACCGGGTAACACTCAAAACTAGTGAGAGCTACATTTGTATTACATATGATAACTAAGCGGCTGCCGTCTTACAACTGTTGCGAAATTACAATCACAAATTTCAATTCGTTCGCTCGACGAAACAACCTAGAATGAAAAAAAATCGAATCATAGAAGAGTAAAGATACACAGAATTCTGATGTTTCGAAAAGAACAAAATAACTACACAGTCACATCATGGGTGATGCGAAAATTTATTGGGTTCAGCTTACCTCAAGCTCAAATCTGGCGGCTTCACATCGCTTTAAGAAATTTAATTTATTTCTGTATAAAGAACAAATCTATCGCTTCCACTCTTTGTGCCCAGCTATTCTCCACAATTACTCTGAATCATCACTGAATCAAAGCGATCTCCTCCTGACAACATACTTATAAACAAGTGCTTCGGTCCTACTTGTCCACATGGCCACTCGACGACATGTTGAGGACAGCTGCAAACGCTGCTGCAGTAGGAATTTCACGATCCCTCCGATGATAAAATACATTGAATAAAAGCAATAAACAATCGATAAAGGGAAATATGTATATTTCAGCCATGAAATTGACGACATTCTTCGGGTAAAAGACAAATTTCCTCACATCTCGAATATCGCATCCAAGATGGTTCACAACAAGGTCACGCGCGCGTTGCACGTTTTCCGCTCTAACTTTTGATTGGCGCACAGAACAATGCTTAAACTTGGCCGTGAGGTAAAAGACAGGAGAATGGGGAAAATAAAGCTAAAAAAAGTTGTTTTTGTCACGTTTTTCTTTGTTTTTTCGTCGATTTTTGGATTTCAGCCAATCAGAACGCACCATTTAATTGAAATTAAAAATTAAAAGTTTACACCTTTTAATCGATTTTGCGTTCTGCCTGCCTAGTTCTTACGCGGACCATTACTTAAGCGTGATGAGCGCAAACAAGCAGTAGTTGACTCTCTGGTGCGGTACGTGACAACGGAAATACCGTTGACTGCCTTTCATCCGGGTCTTCGGTCAATTAAAAAATCGCGCGAAAACACAATCGCCTTTCATTCGATCTTCGGCCGTTGAAGTAACCGTTGAAGTCGTGGGTCGGTTGAACGAAGGTGTAATCATCGTGGATAGAGGATATCAAACTGAAAGGATTTACTCATTTCTTTAAGGTTTGTGTATAATTCACCTTCTATTGCTTTAGTCGTAATGTGTGGGTTCTTGTTCGTTTTAAATTTTTCTTGAAGAAGCGGTACCAACGTTTAGTGTGACATTCAGTACAACTGGGAGCCAAGTCAAACAGCACACTGACCTTATAGTTTAACTCCTGATCAAGCTTGTCAGCGCTAAGAATGCCAGTTATAGTTTGTTCACTTTTGAAAGTCCTATGGGAAACGTATTCTTTAGCGCAACTATCCGTGAATGATATTAAGTAGGATTTTTTTAAGAAGATTGTCACAGACCGTTTGTCAGTTATTATCAAGAGGTTTTTTGGCTGATGATGATCGAAAAAAAGGGTTAAGTTAAATAAGCTTGGTGGTTATTGTTCCATTCAGTGACTGATAAATTTTTTTATAAGCGTATTTTATAATTCCTTACTTTACTGTTTCTTTACTTTTTTGAATGAAAAAACCATCGATGTGACGTGACCCTCAAGTTTCCGGAGCTTAACTTGTGGTTTTTTCTAAAAGTCTTGGCCGGTGCTACTGGAATGCGCCGCCTTTTCCGCTAAGATAAGATAAACAAATATTTGGAAGCACGGAATTGTCTTACTGTAAACAATTAAGTAAAAGTTGTTTGTGTTTGGTTTTAGACGGTTAAATTTATTTTCTTTCATGGCTAGCTATAATTGTTCTTCTGTATTACACATGTAAAGAGAAACCAGTCTAAGGACACATCGGGTTTATGGCTCCTCTTGAATAGATCCGCGATATTCAAGTAGTGGCCGATAAATTTAAAAACAATTAATACCATAAAGAACTCTTTAATGGAATAACTTTATTCTTATAATTGGCAAATTGTTGACCTTTAATATTTATGTCTTCTTTGCAGAGCAAAAGGGACAGGCAAGTGGATCAAAGCTTTCCAATGTAAAGAAGGTGTTGTGGATAAATTAGGAAGTGGCGCAGACATGCAGCTGAGTTCTTATATAAATTATTATAAATACTAAAGTTGTATCAAATTTGATGTGAACTTTGAACAGCTTGTGATGGAACTAATAAATCATTATTAATGAAAATGGAATCCTTTGCTATAGGCTACAGGCAACATATATGACTTGCATTATCGTGTTTAAAAATGTACTGTTTATTATATTTTTAAAAGGTTTAAGTTAAAACTATGGCATGTCACTAAGATTGATCAACTTATTACGCCGCGTCTATCTAATTCTTATCCGTGCAACCACTCTAGCTAATCAAAAAACTAAGTTAAATGCTATCCAATAACTACCAGACATCTAGTTTATTGCTATCCAAACACTAGTTTTTAGTTATTAGACATCTATTTTATTGCTATCCAAACACTAGTTTTTAGATATCATACATCTAGTTTATTGCTATCCAAACACTAGTTTTTAATTATTAGACATCTATTTTATTGCTATCCAAACACTAGTTTTTAGATATCATACATCTAGTTTATTGCTATACAAAGACTAGTTTTTAGTTATCAGACATCTGCTTTAAAGCTATCCAAACACTAGCTTTTAGCTACCAGACATCTAGTTTAAAGCTATCCGAACACTATCGTTCAACTAGTTTATGTCTAGTTTATTGCTATCTATCGTGCCATTAATACATGTAAATTGCTAGTTAACTTCTATCTAATGACTAGTTTCTAACTATGTCAATGATGTCATTATTGGCAAAAACGTATCCGAAAACTAGCTTCTTAGCCGATAAAAAGCTAGTTTTACTCTATCTTATGTGTATCCAAAAGCTAACTATTGCAGCGATGCAAAAATTTCCTTTTTAAGATAGTATTTAGATAGCCTATCTGCATGGTTCCAAATAACTAGAAATTAGTTATTATTAAGATAGGCTTAAGATAGTAATTAGTTATTAGTGGCACACAGGGCATGAAGATAGGAATAAACTAGAAACAAGATAGCTTGTTGATAGTTTCATTAACTAGCTTTAAGATAGAAAAAAGATAGTGTCTCATTTCGTAAGGGTAGTTACAGTCAAATGAATGGACAATGACAGGCGCTACCACCAGAGAGTTGTCCGTCTTAAAGAGGTGTTTGTTAAGGGAGAGTTGACTGTATATAGCAAATGTGTGTCAAATCCATTGGAGAAAAAAAAAAATAGCGCAAAGCAATTCCTGAAAGGACTCTGAACGAAAGAAATCTTGCCAAATGTTGATAGCACATTTTTGAAGTGTAAAATTAAAAAATAATAATAAAACAAATATAAGAATTAAGTTGTTAACATATTCACCATTTTTACATCGCCCGTAAAACATCTCGTTTACCCCCCCCCCCAAAAAAAAATTGCATCAGTAAATTGTCTTCAATTTCTCTTATGAAGACCGCTTACTCCAAGGAAAAACTGAAAACAATTCTAATGCAAATTTTATGGACGATGTAAAAACTATGGTGAATAAATCCTCGGAATGATGTTTTAGGTAAAGTGTAAAAATGAAAATTTTAAGCGGCTTTCTGTACATGAAGCAGAGTAGACAGGACGCTGAAATAAAATGGCGACAATCCGCAGGTGTGCAATTAAATTTGTTAGTGATGTAGTAGTTGTTAGTTATTACCTCCATGATTTACACCTTCCTCTGCTATCATCGCGACTGGGAACATGATAACGAAAATAACGATTAATATTTTCGTGCCAGCCATCTTCCAATCTGTTGAAAACAAAATAATCATGGTTCAGAGCATGTCACTGAATTTATTTCGTCGGTGTTAAAGAGTTATGCACGCAAAGTTTAATAACCACGAGTAAGCGGCAGGGGGTGGGGGGTGGGGTGGGGTGGGGGAGGAAGGGAGGTACCCTGGAAAGTAGGCTTTGATAGATTGTGGTCGCAAAAGTAGCCTGATATACTACTTGCAGTGCTCGTATATTTCTAAAATTATGCCAATAATTCTGCCAGTTGTTTTTAGTTACACTCGTTTTAGCGAACAATATGCAGAAATTATGCTTCTCACTTTTTACTTTAAATTTGTTTAAAAAAAAGCACTTCTTAATCAATGCTTCATGTACAAGTAAATGGCAAACTCATTTACCCTGTTTACACCAAGAAACTTTAAGAGTTCTTAATTCATTGTCTGGCAAGTATAAAAACTCAAACAATAAACAACCAACACGCGGACGCTACCCCAGGTAACCGAGCTTGTTATGTCAATACGTTGAGTCTTGTGGAGAGAGTCCTGAGTCTCTTCCTGTTGGACCCAGGTCCCATGAATGTGACAATAAACAGACAAATAAATGATTTCGTTACTTAGATTTGCCTTTAATACATGCAAATCTCGGACCTAAAACATTGGTTGCACGTTCAATAAATGACAATTTTTGTACTGCAAAATTATAACAAAAAGTGCAATTTATGCAACCAGTGCTTTTTTTTTTTTGAAAAATAGATGAAAATTATGCTTGTAGTGACTAATTGTGCCAGAAATTATGCTAGTCCAATCTATGAAAGCCTAATCCAAAATGCCGGTGACGCCACGAGACATAATTCCTTAACTCCCTTACTCTATTTCACAACATACATGATTAATCCCATTCATGCATTACCCACCTCAGACTAAAACGTTAATTATCTATGCAGCTTATGTACATAATTATAGTATCCAATTAGTAACTTCAACAGATGAGTTCCCCCCGAGACGGAGCAGATAGCTTATTATAAAGAAGTACCCCAGGGAATTCTATAGTCCGATCGCAGATCACCCTGCTGTTTATTTGATCAAACAAAGTGGAATTTAAAAAGAGACCGGGACTTACATGTAAAACAAAACAAAAACAAACACGAAAACAAAACAACAACAACAACAACAACAACAAAAAAAGAAAACTAAGAAAAAGCCAATTATGTTGTAGTCTTCAAGTACTTTTTTACATTTTAAAAATGTACAGGAAATTCTTTCAAAAAGTTCCACTCTATTTTTCTGCTTTTGTTTTTCTTTTCTTTTGTTATTTTTTCATTTTTCTTTTTACGTCATGAAGACCACTTAAAATGTTGAATATATTAATACACTTATTTTCCGTTTAAAAAATGCATTTTTTTGAGAAAGATCCGAGCAGCTGTTCGCTCAGTTGTTTAAGTCTGATTCTAGTGCAAGTTTCAGAAATAGAATTCCTTATTACTTAAAATATATCGTCACTTTAGGAAGAAAATAATTATAAGATAGATAAATAAACAAATGAGTAAATAAATAAAGAATGGATCGGTCGATGCCGGGCAAGAAAATGGAGAATCTGGCCATTAAGGTTAACAAAAATACAAGTCACAAATTAGGCACGTCATGGCTCCGAGTATGTGTTCAATTTTACAAAACATGTCTCCCATAAGGCGAAGGGAAAGTCCCCTAAACTTGTATCTTGTTGCCATGATTATTCGGTGTTCTTTTGTATCGACTGGTGTCCAAGCAACACCGGATATTTTTCGCTCTTTTTTTTATCGCCTCTGCCGCTGATGGAGAAAAGTGTCATTTTTCTTGGTCAAGAATTGTACACGCAATCCAATCAGTGTAGCTGAAATCATTCTGAAATTCTGAATGGCGAAGTCATAACATTGATACATCGAAGTGCTTCTATGAGGTGAGCGATGAACATGCTAACTGTAAAAGTAAGTCTACTATGAAGGAAAAGATACTGGCTCGTGTATAAGACGACTGCTAATTGATGCGTTGACCTGAAACATTGGTGTAACATCCTTTTACTGAAAGCAAAATGAAGAAATATGATGAAGAGAAATGAAAAAACAATGTTTAAAAATGTTTCTTTTCCGACGACGTCTACTTTTTGTAGAACATCTTCAGGAATTGATGAGGGATATACAGTTGAAGGTAAGCTAAGTTTTTAAACCTTGGAATTATTTAAAAAAAATAATAATTGTAAAACAATTATTGGATCCCGGTAGGTTTTTTAATCGCTGAATCTAGGGAAGGAAGGAAGGAAGGAAGGTCAGGAGCCGTGGATGACAAGTAACCAGACGTGGCATTAATCTTGACATTCATATATATCTGACATGTATATGTTGTAGTTATTTTATTTTATTTTCTTGTATCTCAGGTAATTTTTGTTTTTCTTTTGTCTCTGAGTATGGTAATATATGCTAAATGAAGTTGAAAAAAAAAAGGAAATTAAAATAGAAAATACCTGAGATGAAAGATTAACTACAACATATATAACACATAAATATTTTACATACAGAAAATTAAAGTGGCGCCAAAATAGACACGAAGAACTAAGAAATGAGGTAGGAAAAATCACCTCTCACCTTTATATCGATCATTCTTGTTATTAAGTTTTCAGTCTACTTTTCTCACCTCAAATTTGCCAGCTTTTTTGAACAGTTGGAGGCCTCCTAACTTTTGGTGACTAAAAGCCTTCTGCTGTTCGCTTCTTAAATTATCTGAGTTGTTTTCCTGTGAAGATCAAAATTATACGCCCAGCAATTAAAACTCAAGGGTAAAGTTTAACGCAGGAAAAAGACAGTTGTTGGTCACCTAGCTGAGGTGCCAGCTTTTCGCGCTGACTGATAAAAATGTTTGACCAAAAACAGCAGGTATGCTGATCTTCCTATTTATAACTGACGATAGCTGGCTATTTCAAAACGCCATCGATCTATTTCTAATTAATGCTTCAGTTTTCCGGTCTTATCCTAATGGGCATAAATTGACAAATTCCGCCACCTGGTCGCAAAAAGACAAATGCATTTTCTTTTAACAATATGGGTTATTAACGCTATGATTGATGTGTCATGGTCATTGTACACAGGACGAACTAGACTGCAAAAAAGTTGGTGTTTTTCTCCAAATTGGTTTAAAGGAGACTAAGAGCAGCGTAAGAGATTCACGCACGCGAAGCGCGCGAGCCTCACACGCTCTACGGGCATGTGAGGCGAGAGAAAAAAAACCGACTGTCCGTTTTCCATACAATGAGTTCGTTGTGACCAGGAGGCTCAAAAATGTCGTAGGGCTGTCAAAAATCTATTCACAAATCCGTCCTCTTTGTAAATTTGATACGCCCGGTGATTGATTTCGCGAGAGAATAGCGCGTGTTACTTTTGTTTGCATTTGGCTTCGAATCTTCTGGAAGATCAAAAATGAGTGGAAGTGGCAGTACGCCGACAAAAGCCTGTTCCTGCTACTCGAAGAGGAAGAAAACCGAGCTGAGAGCTTCAGATAATTGTAGAATGTGCGGCTGCTTTTTCAAAACGCAGTTCGGCAATTTTAACGGGGGCACCCAACGAGAATATAGTTCAGAACCACATAAACATGCCATTGTTAAACGTATTTTAGTATTTAAACGGTAGATATAGGCATATTTTTATCCCCTAAAAATTTTTCATCTGTTCGGATTTCCTAGCTGAAAGTCTACTGATCCGAAAATTATAGGGATTAAAACTTACCTTTACGAAAATTTCAGCCAAAAAAAAAGGCTCCCGAAAATTCTAGGTGACCTTTTTAGGATAAAAATCCGTTAAAAATGGGCAATTATACCATGTTTTAGATGTTCGAAAATCCTAGGAGAGGCAGGAAAGCAAGAAATTTTACAACAAATGTTCCGAAAATTCTAGATCTCAAATCGTTTTCCGAACAGATATTTTCCGACAATTGACGTTGGGTGCCCCTGATGGGGCAAGAATGGATGGATAAGCTCTGAATTTTTTTTTTTTTTGCCCCTACTGGGAAATAGTGAAACAACGTTACCAAAGTTGGCTGACTTTCTGATAAACGAACTTTGCGTTGTCCTCGACGACGGGAATCTTTCTCCACAAGAGTTTTCTCGCCGTGCGGAACAAAGGTAGAAACTGCGCTGTGATTCTTTCGCAACTGAAAACGCCAACGGACAATGAATTCATCACGGAAGGGAACATCACAAATGACTTGTTGCAAACATAACTTGACAGTTTGCTAAGAGCTTGCGTCAAAATTTAGCCAATGGGAATTGCCCGTGGCTGGGAGAAGTAGGTAATTCGAACGAATCATGCAAAACAGACACTCAGTATTTTTAACGTCTCTTCCCAGTCTCGCTCTCCGTTTTCAGTTCTAGGCAAAAATACGGACTGTTTTCCTGTCAAGACGAACTTTTCGGTCGTAATTTTTAATTCCTTTAAATTTGTGGTAGCGACAAGTTTCTGTTATTTTTTACAGGTCTACGAAACTTAGATAATAAGTAAGTAATCCTGCTTAAGCACGTTCCGCCTTTAAAGCTGCCGCATATAGTCTAGAATTGCATAATTGAATAAAAACTCGCATTCTGATTGGTTAACGAAGTAAGATATTTAGCGTGGAATTGCCAGTTGAAAACGAGAGGCTAAGTGATAATGTTTCACATCTACGTAACAACTATCGTCAAATTCTAACACAACAACTACAAAAATGCTTTTATACAGTGTCATTTTAAAATTTTTTCAAAACCATTGTCACCTTTTCAAGAGCCAAAAACAAGCAAAAGCTATGGAGGGGAATACTGGACAAAAATGGAATTGAATAAATTTATATCAAAATTATTTATATTTTATATTATATCAGAATTATTTTTACATAAACTCGGATTCCTTTGTTCTTTTCGGTTGGAATATATTATATAACCCCTGAATCAACTGTCTGAAAAGTAGGGTGCGGGCTTTGATTGTTTGAAGGGAAGAGCGGGGCTAATGAACAGCTAATTAAAAT